GGCCTGCCTCTATACAGTCAAAGGTCAAAGATTAAATCAACTAAAAGTTTCAGACAGTAGACGGTCCTTTAAATAATATTCAAAAGTTAGAACAAAAAGAAAACAAATCTACATGGAGTTAAAGATAGAAAAATCAACCAGTAAGATACATTAAAACAGACAATGATAACAGACAAAAACAATACATGTAATAGAAAAATAGCAGAGATATATAAAACAATATAATATATAGCTGTTATATATAAGTAAGACAGTTTGTGAAAATTCACAAAATCTCATTACAAGTATAATATTGAACAAGACAAGTTTGACAAAAATTTGTATGACACAAAATATACAAAAAAACAATTACTACTGACAAAGAGTTTTTTAAATTATATTTCTGACAAGACACTGTCTGGCACTGAACAAATATATAAATCACACAAGTTGACATTTAAGCAGAAATTTGGGAAACATAAGTACAAATATTGTGCCTCTGTAAAATTGAAAGCTCTAATAAATATTTCACAGCAAATAAAAGCAAAGTCTGCCAAGTCTTACATAGTTGATGTTTATTCATTTCCCACTTTGTACTGTCACAGTTGTCAACTTATAGCACAATGATTAATGAACAGCTTGTGCTGTCGACAGTTTCAACTTTCTACAAGAGATCAGTAAACAGGAAACACAATCTTCATATTTAATATCTAGTTAAATTGTAAAGGAATCTGTCTTCTGACAAGTAATTGATACATCAGGTACAAGATGTGCTGTAAATATTTGATCAAATGTTAGCAGGACCAAAGTCAACTAATGCTTATTGAGACATTATGTAAGTTCTTAAAGAATTTCTGAGACCGGAAACATCTAGACTATACATCAACAGTATAAAAGGAGCCATTATAATGTAAATATATCCATCAACAAGAAGAAGAGAATTAACATCAAATAAGTTGGCATGACTTGCAGCAGTGACAGGTTAGATGATAAAAACAAAAGAAAAATATACAAAAAACAAGCTAAAAACCAGGAGTAGCAACTCAATGCTATTGTGACATACCTCCTGAAAAAAATAACAGAAAACAAAACATAAAATCAAAATAAAATATACAAGCTAATCTAAATAAAATAATAATACTTAAAAAATAGCAAACTCCATATTTTCAATATTTTTGGTAGCGCTTCTTTATTGCTGGCAGACTTAAATTTACTTCTTTCTATCTATTTTTTCCCCGCTTGTAACAAAATAACAATATCAGGAATTTTGATGCATTGTTTGCAATTGATTACAATATTAAAACTGTATTTGCAAACCATTGCTACATGTATATTTCTTGTAAATACTACAAAATAAATTTCAACTATTTTGCAGACTGTGACTTACATTAGAGTTGCATGCACAACATTTTGATTTATCACATGACCTGGTTTATGACTGGATGTGTTAAGGGTGAAATGGAATTTATCTTAACACATACAGGATGATTTATTTTGATTATCATTTTCTATACTTTTATGTTCTTTATATAAATTCTGATATTTTAAAATTGCATTGAGATTTCAATCATTTCATGTGTGTTTATATTTTATAGTGAAAGTTTAGACGTTATTTCTTTGACCTCACAATCATTACAGTACAGATTGAAGCACTCCTGCAATTTTCTTTCTGAAAATCATATGAAATATTTCTCTAGGGTATTTTCACTAGAATTACACTGAGAGTCTGCCAGTAGCAGACATGCCACATATTCTGTTAAGCCATATGATGGAAAAATCAATCTTCAGGCAAAATACTTTCTCTTTAATGGAAACATAATAAAGACCTTATAGCAAAGAGTTGATTTTATAATTCTATTTAATACTCCTCTAGAATACAAATGCTTGTACGATATACCACAAATCTAACCATGAATCAGCAAACTGGTTTTTAGCTTCAGATATGAAATTCTATCTCTTTAGACAAGGAAACTGTTTGGTTTTTTTAGAAATAATTTACTGAAATTATGCCTTTACGAGTCATCAATCATATTTTAAGTAAATTATGTATTCTTTTATCAGGAAATAATTGTCAACATGTTTGTTGCAATATCAAATTTTGTTTACTTCTAAATCATATTTTGTAATTGGTAACAAGCTCACAGTATAGGTATATATACTAGTGTGTATTGTTTACTATTCAATAAAAAATGTCTTTGTCTCTTGAAATAGAAATGTGCAACCTTATTCCTCACTGATGAAACTTCAATAAAAATTCAAATGAAAAGCCAATTAAAGTATTCTCAAAAAATCTTTTCCAAATTTAGATGTTTTGATGCTATAAATATTTTTTAATATTTCCATAACCCACAATGGATACTAGTAACTAACAGGGACCAATTAAGTTCTATTTGTAGTTTTTAGCTTCAAATATCAAGCAATAATGCACGTATATGAAGGTCATGTTATTTTACAAATGTCTACGATATGTGTCATTTATAACAATACAGCATGTCTGTCATATTGTATTTCATTTGAAAATCGTGAAATTTATATTATCTTTTGACATGGCTGCTGCAATTTTTTTCATTATTTTCTTTTTAATCAAAGAAAGCAACTTTGCTTTGCTTTTAAAATGTTATATAGCCATTTGACAGGTTAGTTACCAGTATATGACTGTTCAAACATTGCATGTTTGTAACATCTATTTTCATTGGATAACCGTGATGTTTATATAGACTATATACACAGCTGTAGTGAAATTACGAAGTAATTTTATGTTTTCCACTTAAAAAGGAAGTTCGCTGCATTATAAATTTGTTATAAAGATTCTTGAAAGGTTTTATGACCGAATTTAAAACGGTTGTTTGCAATATATACAAAACCAAGCAAGAGAATGAAACATTAGACTTCATAAAAAATGTTGGGTTTTTAGTTCTTATATTAAAGTTTTCCCATTTATTATGTAAAAAGTGAAGTTTAATAAGGAATGGATACATCTCTAACCTGTGAATGACCAGACAATAAAGAAGTATATGGTGAAGGCAATCAGATAAACAAACAGACAATCAGACAGGTCTGATATTAATGGTATATCCATTTTAGACATATTTCCTATAACTATTCACACTGAGGATTTAATACAAGACAAGGGGTAATGGCATTTTTTACACAAAGATTACCCCATTTCTTTGAATGGGTTATTTGCCTATAGATTTCTATCAATGTAAACACATATTGGATACTAATTTTAAATCTGTATAGAAGCTTGGTAGCAAAATATTATGGTGATAAAACTTTACTTATTTCAATAAGTTTTTTAATTTGAATAGAATTAGCTATATATTTCAAAAGATTGACTTGACCAGTAACCACTTATGGATTATGACAAACAATATAAACAAGAGCTGTCCGTAAGACAGCGCGCTCGACTTTTTTATTGCTTGCCAATAAAAAAAGTTTTTGCAGTAAAAGGCAATACAAGAATCTCTGTATTTTTAAAGTGAACAATGGCCATGAGCATTAAGATATTTAGTGAAGAATTATTTTACTGAATTGTGTGATACCCTTGAACACTGCTTGCCTATAATACAAAACATTGACAGTTAAGGGCCATAATTCAAATAAAATCTTTGACAGAATTACCTTCTCCTGGACATGTTTGGGAATCATGATTGTAAACAAGTATTCCAACTTTCAAATTAATATCTCAAACAGTTCAGTCAAAAAGTGGACTGGTACTAAAAACTTAACCAAGATTCTAAGTCGATAAAAGGCCTTAATTTTTAAAACAAATCCTTGACAGAGTTACCTTCTCTTGCGTACAGATGGGGGTAATGATGTGAAATAGCATTAAAAGTTTCAAAGCAATATCTCAAAGGGTTAAGGCAATAAGTGGATTTTACCCATATTCAATGTATTTTCTAAGTCAAAAAGGGGCATAATTCTGTCAAAAACCTTGACAGAGTTATGTCCTCTTGTCTGTTGATGAAGGTCGTGATGGTAAACAAGTATGGTCAGTTTCAAAGCAATACCTCCAATGGTTTTGAAATAAAGTGAGGTGGTACAAAAAACTTAACCAAGCTCAATACACTTTCTAAGTCAAAAAAGGGCCATAATTCTGTCAAAAACCTTGACAGAGTTATGTACTCTTGTCTGTAGATGGAGGTTATGATGGTGAACAAGTATGGTAAGTTTCAAAGCCATACTTGTAATACTTCTGAAATAAAGTGGGGTGGTACGAAAAACTTAACCAAGGTGTGACGCCGACGCCGACGCCGGGGCGAGTAGGATAGCTCCCCTTTTCATAGAAAAGTCGAGCTAAAAAACTGCCTCACTCTTTTAACCAATGAGTTATCTGCATGGAGGAACTTATAGAAATTTTCATTGGCCACCAGACTTATTTTTTTTATGGAGCAGAATTTAAAACTGAATATAATTACGTCAAAATGTAGTTATTTTGACTTTTACCTATTTACACTTGGATGGGAATTATGTCAATCAATATTTGTAACAGATCTTTGATGGGTTAATTTATTAACTTAATGAAATTGTCTTTATTCAATAGCATTTAATAAGTACAGGTTAGTGTTCATTATCATTTACAAAATTAAATATGTCAAGAACTGACCAGTACTGACAGAGACATATCAAAATTTAACAATAGTTAAAAAATGACTAGAAATAAGATTAATCTTCTTTATATCAAACTGATTGATATATATATATATATAAAATTAATAATCATGCAATTATAAATCAAAGTTAAAAATTACAAAGAAAAAAGTAGTAACATTCTAATAAAACTTTAATATCCCAATAAAATGTGTATAAAAATAAATCAAATAATGAAAACACACTCAAAGCCTTAGTTTTAAGGAACTTTAATCTGAAGGTCATACCAGCAAAAATAGCTGTATTACAGAAACCAGCTTGCCCCTCCCAGATCACACCCTTACTTTTATCCCCTGCCAATGTGGTTTACTGACATTATTTCCTATAATCATGCTTTACCACAGTATAAATGTAATGAAATATTTTACCATATTTTTCACTGTGACTCTTGCTTCACCTTCCTCAATAAAATACATACAATCAGCACTATCCCCCTACAAAATAAACATGTAAATGAAAATATTTCCCGACAAAATAAACATGTATGCATAAGAAAATATCCTTTACAAAATAAAAGGTTATGTTTATGAAAATGCATGCTCCATATTTGCGACCTATATGTACATTAATAACTTTATTAAACACAAGCCCCAAAATTCCAAATGATTTAAGTAAAATATAATTCATATCACTAGATACATCATGAAAGTTTATCATTTTTACATAAAACAGCTGAAAATAAAAAATATCTCAGAATTGTTGAATATATTTCACTTTTGGAGTTACCCTATTTCAGAGAAATATAATCTTAATTGGCTTAAAACAAACAAGAGGGCCATGATGGCCCTGAGGTCGCTCACCTGTATATAGCCCCCCCAACCCCCCCCCCACACCAATGTTGCAGGGCCAATTTAACCCAAGGGCTTTTATTTGCACAAACTTGGTAGACACCCATAAGAAGATGTTTCATGCTAAACATCTAAGCTCTTGCTCATTGGGCTTTTTAAAAGAAGATTTTTTTTTAAGTTTTTACTATACACATATAGTTTAAAAAACAATGACACCCCTGGGGCCGGGCCAGTTTTGACCCCAGGGCTTTTATTTGAACAAACTTTGTAGACACTTACTAGAAGAAGTTTCGTGCTTAATATCTAAACTCTAGCTATTTGGGTTTTTTCAAAGAAGATTTTAAGTTTTTGCTATACACATATAAAGAAAATCAATGACCCCCGGGGCTGGGCCAATTTTGACCCCAGGTCTTTTATTTGAACAAACTTTGTAGACACTCACTAAAAGATGTTTTATGCTTAATATCTTAACTCTAGCTATTTGGGTTTTTTCAAAAAGATTTTTAAGTTTTTGCTATACACATATAAGGAAAATCAATGACCCCCGGGGCGGTGCCAATTTTGACCCCAGGGCTTTTATTTGAACAAACTTGGTAGACACCTATTAGAACATGTTTGATGCTAAATATCTTAGCCATAGCTCTTTGAGTTCTTTAAAAGAAGATTTTTTAAGTTTTTACTATATGCATATAGGGAAAATCAATGACCCCCCGGGGCGGGGCCAATTTTGACCCCAGGGCTTTTATTTGAACAAACTTGGTAGACATCCACTAGAACATGTTTCATGCTAAATATCTTAGCTCTAACTCTTTTGGTTCTTTAAAAGAAGATTTTTTTAAGTTTTTACTATATGCATATAGGGAAAATCAATGACCCCCTGGGGCGGGGCCTATTTTGACCCCAGGGCTTTTATTTGAACAAACTTGGTAGACACTTATTAGAACATGTTTGATGCTCAATATCTTAGCCATAGCTCTTTGAGTTCTTTAAAAGAAGATTTTTAAAGTTTTTACTATATGCATATAGGGAAAATCAATGACCCCCGGGGCGGGGCCAATTTTGACCCCAGGGCTTTTATTTGAACAAACTTGGTAGACACCCATTAGAGCATGTTTCATGCTAAATATCTTAGCTCTAGCTCTTTGGGTTCTTTAAAAGAAGATTTTTTAAGTTTTTACTATATGCATTTAGGGAAAATCAATGACCCCCCGGGGCGGGGCCAATTTTGACCCCAGGGCTTTTATTTGAACAAACTTGGTAGACACTCACTAGAAGATGTTTCATGCCAAATATCTAAGCTCTAGCTCTTATGGTTTTTTAAAAGAAGATATTTAAAGTTTTTTCTTTCGGTTGCCATGGCAACCAGAGTTCTGCATGGAATTAAATTCTTTGAACAATTTTTAAAGGTGACCACCAAAGGAACATTCCTGTGAAGTTTGGATGAAATTGGCTTAGTGGTTTATGAGGAGATGTCATTTAAAGTAAAAGTTTACGGACGACGGACGGACGGACGGACGGACGCCGGACGAAAAGCGATCACAAAAGCTCACCCTGTCACTTTGTGACAGGTGAGCTAAAAAACATCACAATTACAAAATAACAATACCACCTTTTTAAGTGTTTATATAATCATTGATAAAAACTGAAGTTAGATAAAAATGTTACCTGTTTAATTATAACACTACCCTCTTCATATGTCTTTGAAAATAATGCATCAGCAATGTTCATCCTTTCATATGGCTGTAAATATACAACACAAATATATATTTAAATCCCTTCTTTGACTGCAAATTTTGGCTTTTAGATCTGGCAGATAATTCCTATTATAATCTCTAACCATGCTTAAAATCTTAAATGGACATATCCATCTTTCAATCTGGACACATTCATTCAACATTTTCAGGGAAATTTTCAAATTAAGTACTGACTGAATATTGTAGACAATGATCAGACAGTACAGATGTGCCGGCTGATGTGTGATCTGCACTGGTTATACAGGTAGATTTAGTTGTATGTCACAGGATCATTTGTCATTAAGTATATACCTTACCATTATTATATCATATATGATATAGTGCATTTCCAATTAATATATCCTTCCTAAATAGTGAACAGTTCTGAACAGTGTGACATGTAGATTCAGTAGCCACCAGTAGGCTAGGGGTTAAAAAATGTCAAAATACAGACTATATAAAGTTCAGGGGAATCATAAATATTCTACAAAACAGACTGGGGGATATTAAATTAATATATGTAAATTGTTTTTCGATAAATGTAAATCCTGACATTTATAGCTTAACAAGATTTCTATACAGTTCTGAGAAATACAATAAAGTCAGAAAAAAACACACCAGAAAATAATGAAAATGTGAAGACTTCTTTTCCATTATAAAACATCTCTGACAAAACTGACAATGACAACAATGTTTGAATATCACAAACATGTAATTTTGAAGTATTTCTATTAAAATCAATAATCAAGACTTCTTATTTCAAGAACAGCCATTCATACTCAGTCACTAGAACTGTCATTTGTCAATATCTCAACAGAAAATCAAATATAAAATAGAAAGTTTGTCAGTATCTAATGTAAGAAAAAGTCTGTAAAATTTCAAAATAAGCTTTTCAGCCATCAACATTCATTTTCATCTGCTTTGTGTAACACAGATAAATGTTGCTAAGACAATTTCATGGAGTATTTTACAATGTCAATAAATTATTCTCAACCTAATTTTCTATCAGTCCAAGAAAAATTAGTGTCAATACTACCATTGACAAGGAAAACTAGAAGGACTTCCTGTTGGCTAACCAATACATTCAAAAACAATAACAAAATGTTTAGCAAATTTCTTCCAGTAATCTAGTGTCTGTTTTAGGTAATGGCACAGATCTTAGAAGAATGACATCACAAATGAAACTTAGTGACTTCTTTTCCTTTAACAAGGGCGTCTCTTGTTCTCCTTTTTTGTCACAGGAATTGTTATACTGGAAGCAGTATCATTAAATAGAGCAGATAATTGGAAATAACACTCATCGCAAGACACAATCAATATTCCGAGATGGTTTATCCTCACACTAACTTTAGTACAGGCAGGTTCCAGGAACTTTCCCCCCCCCCCCACCTTTAAATTTTTATTTTAAGATAAATTAAGTTGAAGTGAACAAACTCAGTTCAAATTATACTTCAACTTGTTGTAGGAAATGTTTAATATAAATGAACAAGCTGCAAGACAATGGAATACAAGTATAGTTAGTATATGTACTAAGAACTTAATTAATATACCTACTACAAGAAATTTTATTTAATATTATTGTTATTTCAAACAGTTTCCTTCTATTTCCTATAAATAAATCATCATCAAAATGTTAGTATAAATCATAATTTGTCATTAAACTATAACTTCTACAAAAAACATATAAAATCAATTTCTAATGTTTATTCCACTACTTTTGTGTAGTTCACATTGTCCTGGGTGATATTAGAACTTCCTATTGTTAACTTTATAAGGAATTTCAATCAAAACTAAAACCCTAAAATTATACCAGGCAACAATCAAGTTAGGTCACACCGGCCCATGCTGCTTAACCTAAGCCTGCATTTATTGTGCTGTTCATGTTACTTATCATAGATAGACAGATAGAAAAAATCTTAGAGCTCACAAAAAGTTGACTTATGAGTTGGAGTGGTAACTTTATGTCATTATTAATCAGTATTTGGGTGCCTGTATCAGGAGGATTTTTAACACGGGTAATTGACCATTCAAGTGTTGACCTAATATTACTTTAAATTGTTAGTCCTGCTCTATAGCCAGCTAAGATTAAATTGACAAATAAGGGAACTTCAATAAACAAGATAATCAATCTTTGTACACTATACCTCTAATGTCTTCAGCATGGGTGTATTTTCCAGCAGTGTTTCGTATACCTTTCGTTTCTCGTATGCATTTTTCAGTACTATTCTTCTAAATGTGAGTCGATCCTGTAATTATACAGCAATGGTTAATCAATACAAAATAAAAGAACAATTCATTTATGAAGGCAATGCTTGACAATGTAAACATGTACTTCCAGGTCTCTTATCTAATCAAACAAAGGAGAAACAAGAGTTGTTTGTATAACACACAAGTTCGATATGATAGCCATTCAGTGGAAGGTAGGAATATACAAGACATGTTGGAAACAGACAAATGACATAAAGTTGGGCCCAGTACAGGAACCATTACTTACAACAAAGGCATAGTTACTATAAAGAAGAGTGTTACATCAATAACAAAACACTGACAAACACTTTTTGCCCAATTTTTTCAAAAAGCATCCATAGATATGACCAGACACAAATCAACCCTCAATGTAGTATTTTGACACCTAAGTATTCTTCACCATTTTTAGCACTATTTGGCATCCAAATATAACCTTCACATTTCTAGCTTTCAACCTGACATTTGTGCATGGCAAAATTATGCCTAGTTATTTCAAAAATCCATCAATGAATGAGTGAATTAATGTACTTTTATGAAATTTTACTTTTAAAATCTTATTGAGTGTTTGACTTTTAAACTATAAACTTGTTCTCACTCATAAGTTCATAGCATTGTTTTTAAGAACTACATATTTACATAGTTATCTTAAAATCTGTTGATGAAGAAATGCACATCATGACTTTTAATAGTGTGACCTTGAACTTGGAGCTGAAGAAGGGACACATCATGTTAATGTGCAGTAATTTTTAGAATGAATGTAATAAAAGCCTGAATATCAGTCCTGTTAGAAAATTTTTTATATCATAACATATGTGCTTAATTATAAAAACATGTTACTATCACATGATTTCATAACATGACTTTTCATTCGTGTCTGCTGTCTTTAAACCAATTAAACTTACAGATCAGAGTTCTGATATTTTCTCCAGTAAATTGACATTTTATGCTTTTTACATTAATAAATGTTTAATAAACCAGAAATCGGCCACCAAGATGTCTGGAAATCAAATGGGTCACAATGATAGCATTAATTTTGTCAAGCTCATCAATCATACTAACAGAAACACTAAAATTTCTATATGCCTAACATAACTTTTACATAAGATATTCTTTTTACTTCTGAATCATTGTACAAGATCTGGATCATGATTTAATCCCAGACATTAAAAGTATATAATAATCAATTGTTCCAGACCTTAGCACAGCCAAGTGTTTTTGAAGAGACATTTAGTTCAAATGCCAAATGTCGTTCACCATTATTTATATCATTATCAGAAAAAATGAGATAGTAGTGCAGTATTGGTGAAAAATTCAGTGAAATAGAAACCTGCAACAAATACCGTGGCATTCAATTACACAAGAACTGCACATCAACATAAGATAAGAACTTTGTAATCTTTTAACAATAAGACATTTAGTCATGCAGTTGTAAGTACACTGTACAATACTCTTATATTTCTTTCGTGATTGTCTAAAATAAGAAAATAACCTACCATTGCCCATAAAGAGCCTTCACTAGTGGCAACTATAGTAGCCGCTCTGGGCATATTGTACATGAGGGCTAGCTCACCAAAACTGCCAGAACTGTCATATTTACCAACTAGTTTGTTGTCTACAAATATGTCATATGTACCACTGTAAATATAGCAAAAATATTCATATTAGACAAGATCTTAACAAATACCAACTGTACACATATAAATACAACTGTACACATATATATACCCAATATATGTTTTTGTTATGGAGTGAAAAGAAGCATCAAAAGCATTCTTTACATTTCTCATTACTACATGATAATTTATTCCTCTCAATTGAATGGATAAGACAATGTTCCAAAAAGCTTTCAACTTCTGTGAGACTGTGTTCACAATTGATTTTTCTGCAGTAATTAGTTTATGGACACATCAACTTTTAATAGGAAAGCATGTTGATCACTTGAAGCTTTCATCCTAGTAACATAATTAACAATTAATTTTCCATAGAATCAGCTTAGATCACTTTATCATAAAACAATACAAGTAACTACATTATTCATTGCTGTTTAAGTTTTAAGTTTTTAATTAAGAAAACATCAAACACTGTTACATGACTGAAACAGTTCTATGAAGAAGTGAAACATTTCAACGTATTACTGCATTATTTGATACTGCAACATTACAGACATGTACATATTTTTATATAATTCTTTTTCTTTAGAAATTTATGATATACACATATATATTATTTAAAAGAAATTGAATACTGTTGAAATAATAATTTTGCAGTATTGTCATTTTTGAGTTAATACAAACACAATGGCAACAGCTAATTTTCAGTTATGCTTAATTTGTTTCAGGTCACCAATGCAAATTTGCTGTTTTATTTGTATTAAACTCTGGCTTATTGATAACATATAAGAATTATATACAATTTCTTCAACTGTACAATTATTGCTGGCTACAAGATCAAGATCAGTCAGCACATATGATATGTATCATGTGATATAGTTTGTACCGTGCATTTTTCAGTCAGTACAAATTTTTTGATAAAATCTCTGTAAAAAAGATAAATGGTCTTGTCCAGATTGAAAGATGAAGAAGTCCATTTACGATATTTAGCATGGTTATGGCAAATTGACTTTTAGGAATGATCTGATAAAATATTAGCCCGATGTTTTTTTCTTTTCTGTAGAATTTTTTTTATCACCTATTCTTTTCTCTCATTGGACATGTCCCATAGGAATATAAGTCAGGACAAATGTCTTCTCCATTTGTTATCTACATCTACAACACTAAGATTTATGACTTAGTCTTGGAAAGGTCTTCCAGGAAAGTTACACATAAAATATCTAAACATAAATTATGCTTTTGTTCTTTTGTTGAATATTTTACTCTTTCTGTGCCCTATAATTTCTTCTAGAAGTTTTTTTTTATGGAAAGAGGACATTTTCATTGCAAAGACAAAAATCTTTTATACTCATATAGGGCCAATTCAACACAATTTTACTGAGAAAAAAACATCGAAAAAGACCTTATACTACTCAAAAGATGTCCCAATTTATCTTAATTTCCGCACATAAACTATTTCTACAAATAGTTCAGCTCTGGGCATTACAATTTGATTGAATTTACAACAAATCTTGTTAAAGGAAACATTGATGCCAAAAATAGAGAATAAGATCAATGGAAATAATAACACTCCAGACATACTATGACGTACTATAATTGGAAACATACCAAATTAAGAGTTAATTCTTCTTAAATCTTTACATTTGCTTCAACTAACACATACTTTATTCTATATTACACTTTTTGATTGCCACCTGAAAAAAAGCCAGGACAGTGCAGCAGTAAGAAATGTCCTGTCTGACAGGTTGATATTTCTTTTAGGCACATAGTCTTTACAGTGATTGCCTGTAGCATATCGATGGCTCAGCGCAAAACTCAGCTAAGTCCATATTTCACCTAAAATGACTTTTCCATAAATTCTGAAAGCTAATCAAACATCCCTTTATCTCTGAAAATATTTTGAACATATTCCCTGTAATAGTAATTATATTTGAATTTCAAGCAAACATGCTAAGTCAAACTGATCAAATTAGTTACTGCAAAACTAGATTAAGTCAAGTTAGTATGAGTTTTGCACCAATTTTTTTTTCAACCCACACAAATTTGCCAGTGCAAAACTAGTCTAACTTAAGTGTTGCACTAAGTAATATTATGAAGCTATAGCATGTAGTTCTTTTACAACATAGAAAATAAGAATATTCCTTTAAAATTACATTTGCACCACCCTGTTTTAAACTTGCAATAGTTTTGATGACCCATATACATGTAGCATTCGTATATTGTAAAGCCTTAATTCAGTGAGGCCATACATTAGTGTGACATCATTTTAAGCTATTGCAAGAAGTCTACAATTTTTGCTATTATGACTTGCATCGCATCCATTTGTGAAGAAGTTTAAGTCAAACAGTGTCATGAATTAAAATGAAAGATAAAAAGAAGTATTGTTTTGTAAGTTGGCATAGAGTAAGAATTAAGTTTATCCTTTGCATTCTTTGACAGACCCAAACCCTAAACAAAGTTTTGGAAATTTAAAAAAATCTAGATTTGTGTCTTATTCAGAACCAGATTTAAAAAGGCATAATTAAAAGCTATTTTTAGATTTTATAATAAAACAGATGAGGACTTAATTTTAGCTGGAGAATATGATATGCACTTAATAAAAATAATATTCATAATTGGCCAATGCAGTTAACTGTAGCCACCTCGAAAATTATTGATTTAGCTTTTATGTGGTTATTTTTTTTATATACCCTTCTTAAAATAAAAAGAATAGGAAGTGTTCTCTACTTGTATATAGCTTGATTTTGAATGATACTGCATAAAGTTGTTGAAATTTACAAACAATATTACTTTTAACAAAGTGCAAAATCTAAAATAACAGGGCCTCTCAAAAATAGATAATTAGAAGGACATAATATAAACAATTAAACTATGAAGTCAAGGTTATGTAGATCTTACCCTTGATTTTCAGCATTTAACATAGTTCATAGTCTGTTAATATTGCAATATATCACAATATAATTTTTCTTTGCAATACCCAGTCAGGGCTGTCGGATAAAAGTTTAAAATAGTAAGATATCATGACGTGTGACACAGTTCCATAGAAACCAAATCAACCAAAATTATTTTTGTTTCCAAAACGAAAGACGGCGATATGTTTTTGGGAAAATTCACATAAAATGAGACTCTTATCAATTGATTATTAAGCTTAAAGCAGCACGCCTCCAGATTCATGTTAATTTTCATGAAAATTTTGAAAATGCATTTGAATGTATAATATTGTGAAATAACCAAAAGGAAGCAATTTACACATTATCAATGGCACTTACAACCCACGTAAATTACCAAAAAGTGGTCAAAATATGCATAAATAGCCCTTACTGCGTTAATTACGCAGTAGAAATATACTTGTAAATACCGAAAAATCAGTCATTAACCGCACATTACATGTAAAATATTACTTGAATCTTCAATCATTTTACTTTTCCTAAAATCTTAGTACATATTTCTCAACTTTGATTTTATTGAAATATTTGGACTCACTCATCTGGAGGCATGCAGCTTTAAACCATTGTGACCACAATCTGCGTACTACTGTCCTTGTATGTAATATTTCTTGTACTGCGAAGTCACTTACATTCGTGGGCATGAAATTTCGTGGTTTTATCAAAACAGGCATTTTCGTGGGTTCTTAAATTTGTGGAGTTTCAATTTCTTGTAAAATATAAAATAAATCACCTTATACATTTTGTAATCTAACACTTTATTGCCTCGCATTTTACTAACCGTACATGTACATATCTTACGCTGTCAATAGATTTAATCCTTGCCTCTAGGCATTCATTACACAAAAATCGGCGGAAAAGCGCCAATGCATGTTTGTAATATATAGAATAGAGACATGGCAAGAAGTATTTGTTGGGATAAAATTTCGTTAGATCTTAAATTCGTGGATTGACCTACCCACGAAAACAACGAAAATTCGTGCACCACGAATAATAATGATTTTACAGTATTTGTTTATTTATGATTATCAGATAAAAATGAAGAATTATAACAACATCAATTATTGTTTATTTTTCATTTGTCAAATATTAATTATTCATATTTTATGTACAACTGTCTGTCCATTATGCGATTGATAGTCAACCTTTTATTCTCACAAATCTTTGTAAAAAATCAGTGACATATGTCAAAATTATATGTAGTTAGCGGCAGACTTAAACTGTGCCAAATACATGGGAAAATGCTCCTGAGAGCATCCCAGAATATAAAATTTTCCGGGGGAGTAGCCCCCTTAAGAACCACCAAATTGGCCATACAATCACAAAATCATGAGGACGGGCCTGCTAGTCCAGATTAAATGAAAGATAAATTAAACAAAGTTAAACACAAATTAAATAACAGTTCTACACATGTGAAAGCTGTGAATTCTCATTATTAACATAATATTCTTCAATATTTGAACTTAAGAATGATGAGGGAATTTGTTGATATTGAAAATTGTAAATGGAATTTGTTGATATTGAAAATTGTAAATGCTATTATTTTACAGAGCATGCTAAAATAAGAGTTTATAAATCTACAAACTGATGAATTTAATTTATCAATAGTAGGGCTGTAACTTTTACTTGCATTAAGATCCAGACCATGATACTAATACGGTTCCGGTATATGTTTTAAACCTCTATGATCACTGGCTCATGATTCAAACCTATATTAATCAAAATTCTAATAACTCTTAAAACCTTTAAAAATGCTTTTTTTGTTCTACAATTTTTAGCTTGTCTATTCGCAGAATAATCGAGCTAGTGCAGTCACCCATTTGTCACGTCGGTGTCCCAGTGGTAAAGTTTTTACGTGAAAGAAAGTATCTCCATAACTACTGAAGGGAGTGCATTGAAAATTCATACACTTGTTCTCTGTGATTATCAAACATGATTGGCACAAGTCCCATAGCTCTGATTGCTTTTTTAGCATAATTATGCCCCTTTTTCAACTTAGAAATTCTTGGTTAAGTTTTTGCTTGTAAGCAAGTATCTCCATAACTACTTAAGGGAATGGATTGAAACCCCACACACTTGT